CCTGGCTAGGTAACACAAGCTCAGAGAACCTCAAGGACTCCACAATACATATCCAGATGCCACCTTCTGCAACACCAAGAACTGTGATGAGATCTTCAAGGAGATGGTTGCCACCAAGGAAATCGGTGGACAAAACCAGGACCCCCTGTTGTGCTCTCTGTGGGGTCATGTGTGGAGGAAGCCATGGGGGTTAGCCTAGAAAATGAGGGTCCCTCAACTGCGGGAAAGCATTCATCTGGATGAACTCCCACCATCCTTCCTCGCAAGACTTCTCCCACGTTGCTCCCCAGCCTCATGGTCTTTGCCGGTGGGCTCTCCCAAAACGACCAAAAAGGCCCATCTTTGCCAGTTTCCTTGGGATGAATATTAGACAAGTGGTCACGTCCCTCTGCTTTATTTCTCCAACCCCTTTGAATTTTCCTCTGCTTCATTTTTTTTCTCCCCTCCCGCGTCATGCCCGCTGGGTTCCTATATCAAATTGACAGGGGCTATAAAAATAATGGGAGATTTCAGAGCAATTTTGCAAGGCACTTTCTTCCCCTCTTAAAAACAGGCCATCATTCAATTCAATATTTTTTTTCCTTTTCCTTTTCCTTTTTCTTTTTCAGTATTATGGACATCTAGAAAGATTGTGGGCAGTAAAAAAAAAAAAAGATCATGATATAATAGATAAGAGCAAAAATAGACTTCAAGCCTATTCAATTGGGCTAACCATCACTGAAGAAAGAAACTCTGTTTGATTTCTTAGATTATCCTGATAGACCTGATCTATCTAATGCAGTGTTTCTCAAACTTGTCAACTTTAAGACATGTGGACTTCAACTCCCAGAATTCCCCAGCCAGCTAATTGAGAAATGGGATGGTAAGCTGACTCTTTGAAGAACTCCTGCAATGAGAATCAGGACTCCAAAGACCTGGCTCATATCCAGGTCCATATCCTGGCTCATATATCTGCCCATACAGATTGTAGTGGGCATGGTGATGCAAACTTATAGCCCTGGATTTCCCATCCAAGCACTAACCAGGCGTGTTTCTCCTTAGTGTCTGAGCCCATGGAGTTGCTTAAGAGGTTGCTTCATCAGCTCCCCTCCACCCAAAGTGGAAACTTCC